GGGCGCGAGCGGCTATGTGATTGGAGATGTGAACTAAAGGGATCCCAACACTAACACAGCCACGCCCACCCATTCACACCCACACTCACACCCCACATCCCACACCCACACTCATACCCCACACCCACACTCACACCCCGCACCCACACTCACACCCCACACTCACAAACACACTCACACCCACACTCACACTCACACTCACACCCACACTCACACTCACACCCACACTCACACTCACACGCACACCCACACCCACACCCACACCCACACCCACACCCACATCCCCACCCACACCACCCACACCCACACCCACACCAACACCCACACCCACACCCACACCCTCACTCACGCGCCCCACGCTCACCCTTGGTAACTCACGAGGAAACATCTTCAGGTGCTAAATCATTTCTGGCTTTGGACTATGCTCGAATGTTGCTACCGGTAACGATAAACGGCAGGGCCAGTCCAGGTATGGGTGGGGCGAACATGGTGTGTGGGTGTAGATACGAGTATGCGTCTTGGTGCACCCTGTCTCCTCAGTTGAACCCACACTCACAGCCCCATCCACGCATACCCACCCATAGTTTTATCGGCAGAATTGTGTAAAACAACACAAAGGTGGAAAGAAAATGTCCTGAAAAACATTAGGACGAATTGGACATTTCAAAAACATATCGCATTGTAATAATCTAGGGATCTGCATCTTCATACGAACTGACTCCGATAGCGCCACGGACGAACTTTGCTCATGTTGAGTTTGGCAATACTGGTGTCAGTTGTCATGGAGATGCAGACCTCTATTTTAATCATAAAAAAAACACATCTATACGGAAACATTTGAAAAAACTAAGTTTTGCACTTTATTATTTTGAACAGTCTTATGAATCGCGATCAGTGCTACAAAATGTAATGAAACATTAAAAGAAAGTTCGAGAACCGTCCTCGTTGAAGTATCCATCCTCGTCCATCAAGCGCCAGTCCTCGGATTGGCTCGGCGACATCAACGCCTCCATTATTCTGTTGTATACGGCCTGTCTGTCTATCGGCAACTGTGACGCAGTATTATAAGTAGAAGGACGATCATACATCTGTGTTGATGATTGAAATGTGGAAGCCGGTTGTGTTTTCGATGAAACTAAAAGAGGAAAGGAATTATATATCAAGATATATTAAATATATTTCAATAAAGGATATTTGATATAGTCTCATCTATTCTTAATATGTACAAACCAGTTTTGAAAAACGACAATTATTCCTAAACTAGTTGAAGTACTTTATATTAAACTTTTTTGACCGAAAAATTTATGAGTTCTTTCTAAAAGTGATACTATTTACCAACAAAAGAGTGTAGATTAGAGTGGATGCAAAAAAAATCACTCAAATCAACCATCACATTTATGCCAACATCCACATCATACATCGAGCGTACTAATCACGTTGAAGGGTGGATGTGGATCAGTTTTGTACTCAAGTACGCTCACATTCACCTACCCATATCTGTGCTCTCTTATAAACGTTTGAAACGACGTGAAAGTCTGCAACGCACGCACACCCGTATTTTAACCGTTTATCTTAAGCTAACGGTTGTTAGACTTAAGATCTCAAGCTGGAATTTTTACTGGGTGGCATTTAGTCTGCTATGTATCATCTCGAAAAGTTTATCAAGATTGAGTGATCAAAAACGAAAACGTTGAACAGCGAGAGAGAGGAGACTTATCAATGCTACAAATATCTATATTTTCGGAAATAATTACAGAATTATTACTCAGAACTATATTTATCGTATCACAATAGCTCTAGTTCTTTTAAAAGTTAGACATTTGAAAAATTTAATCGAATTCATATTTTCTAATAAAAATGAATGTTTATGCCTTTATGCATCGAAAAGTATTTGTTATATTTAATCTAGAAATGAAAGATCAGTCTAAACTTTACCCTGTTTTAAATATTGATAGATAAAACTGGCCTGATTCTACCCACCGACTACTTTGCTTCAAATTTTTGTTATTTACCTGTAACTTGTTCATACAAATATATATTTCGGTGTCTCAAACTACAGGTTATATGTGGAATTTGAGTCGATTCTGATTCTTCCACCACTCCATTAGTAACATCAGTTAGCATCATTTGAATATCTTCATTAGGTTTTAAAATATGTTTAAGAATATGCTTTGTAAATAGACCATTTGTTTCTCTTTCCTTTCCATCATCTGCTGTAGTTCCAGGTGCACAAGCAAATGCAATCACATATCCAGCATTTGCAATCATCGGTCTAGTGTTCGCATTTATGGACCTAGCATTTCCAATCACCGGTCCAACGTTTGCAGATGTTGATTTGAGTCTCCGTGAATGGTTGTCCTGTTCGTCTCCGGCAATACGTGTTAAGTGTTCATTGCGTAAATGATATGTTCGACAGCAATCTAAGAAAAAGATGATAACAAATGGATTTTGACTAGTTATATCCATAAGAAAATGTTGTGCATTGATCGCATGACTTGCTAAGTCGGCGCCACTTAATTCAACCTTTCTCTTGTCATCCTCTTTGAAATTGTCGCATGGAATTAAGTAGTTTTGATCCTATCAGCACATTGAAGAAAAGACAATTTTTAGAAACGTACTTTAATTTTCATACCTCCCATTGTTTTCCATGCCCAGCGAAATAAAATAAAACCATATCTCCCACGTTTATCGACTGTTTAAAAGCATTAAGAGCACCAGACAGCGTCCTGTATGTCAAGTTTAGTTGTGGTCCATTTTCGTGAATAATAAATCCAATTCTTTTCAGTGCAGATGACATCTCTCTTGCATCATTTATTGCGTTAGGTACTTTTTTACCTTTGTCATAATCACCAATCCCAATTACAAGTGCTAACTTACGTCGTACACTATTTGTAGAACTAAGTGACGCTCTAATCGCCATTAAAAAGATTACCTTCTAAAAAATCTGCTAGGCATCCGATATTATTTTACATCAAAAACCAAATATAATCCTTCCGCACTTAAAACTAATTTGAACTACACGATTTTCAGTTCCGCATAGATAATACAGTACGAAATGCGTATATTAATCTTTTTGAACTAATGACTTGGGAATGGATGAATTGTTTTGAAATTTTATATTTAAGCTGCGCCTTATTAGTTATTGATACATCCGTCAACACTTTTACAAAAGTCTTCCTAGTCTTTTTTCGCCTATACTCGTACTTTTCACGAGGATAATGAATAAATATTCTGGGCATGCATATAGGAGTGCAGGTCAAAATTCAATTGAGAGCTATTGCCAAATTAGCCTTTGGAATGTCACTAGAATTCATTCCTAACTTGCTTCTGATATAAAACACAGAAATATTTTAGAGACGGTAAGAGAGCATCACTCACCGTCATCTTTTCTATCATAGAGAGTGGGTGTGGATTGTCTGAGGTGCACTGAAAAAACATTGGTACAATACCGAACCAAAAAGAGTACTGTAGATGGAAAAAAGGTTTCGAATTCGTTGCAATTATCCGAACCATTTTAAGTTCGGTACAGACCACTTCGAAAAACTTGAAAGAGTATCCTAAGCCAATAACAATCAATTTCAGACACCCGAAGTTTTGCACGAAACCTTTTCAGGGTTTCGTACTGTCTTCTAAAATAGTTCGGTAATCATACAATTCTTTTTCGGTGTACCGAACCATTTTAGAAGACAGTACGAAACTATGAAAAGGTTTCGTGCAAAAATTCGGGTGTCTGAAATTGATTGTTATTGGCTTAGGATACTCTTTCAAGTTTTTCGAAGTGGTCTGTACCGAACTTAAAATGGTTTGGATAATTGCAACGAATTCGAAACCTTTTTTCCGTCTACAGTACTCTTTTTTGGTTCGGTATTGTACCAATGTTTTTTTCAGTTTGTGGGTGTGAGTGTACGCTTCGCCGTCATCCTCATTCACACCTACACCCACATCCTAATTTCGAGTGGATGCAACTATTTGATTCATTGCTCGTCAACGTCCACATCCACATTCATTCTTTCTCATTTTGGTTATTTCGCAATGATTGTTCGTTCTGATGTATGCATTAACTGAGTTAAAGCGAGGCAGAGAAAATAAAGAGAGAGATGCATAGTAACGCACGAACTTTTGTGTCCCATTTTATTTCTTCCAACAAAACAACATTGTTTTTCTTCTTCTTGTTTTTCTCCCAGAGGTCGGTTTCTTTAATGCAGATGTTACGGTTAAAATTGGAATTAAGTCAAGTTCTAAATTTGTCAGGACGAAATAAGAATTTTATTTTCATGAACTGTAAAGCTGACGAGGGAAGGCCACCAACTGTTTCATCGCTTTTGCGTTGAAACTATTTGTGTTATGTAATTCCCAAAGAGTTATGAATACGCTGAAAATATTTTGGGCTGATAGCTTATTGTAACGAAAATAGTCAATTTGTAAGGTATGTTTTTGATGATTGCCGTGGTCCCCCTCATGAACGTTAAAAAAATTGATTTTCGAATTTCGACTTGAAACTTTACATAGAAATACTTCTCAACAAGAATAGTGTTTTCTGAAAGTTTTAAGCCTTTTGATTGTTTGTTCCACTAAATCTGCTACTTTATTTGAAGGATATAAAATACAAATTTCACAATAGCAGTGTCTAGTGATAAGAACACTAGAAAGATCTGAAACGTTCACAAAAAGTTGTTCTCCTTGGGGCGTCTTTCTGTGTAAAGTTTCAAGTCGAAATTCGAAAATCAATTTTTTTAATGTTCCTGAAGGCGACCCCAGGCACTCAATAAAACCCATACCTTACAAATGGACTATTTTCGTTACAATAAGCTATCAGCCAAAAATATTTTCAGGGTATTCATAACTCTTTGGGAACTACATAACGCAAATAGTTTCAATGCAAAAGCGATGGAACAGTTGGTGGCCTTCCCTCGTGAGAGCAAAAGCAACAATACGAATAGGAGTGGAATCAAGAATGATGGTGAAAACGAAGAACGGCTCTGAGTCGGGGTGCGGGTGTGCGTGTGGAGTGTAGCAGTGGCTGCAGACCTCGTCGTCTCTCTCATTCACACACACTCATACCGTGATTTCGAGTGGATGCAACTATTTGATTCATCACTTGTCAACGTCAACGTCCACATCCACATTCATTCTTTCTCACTTTGGTTATTTCGCGATGATTGTTCGTTTTGATGTGTGTGTAACGGAGTTAAAGCGAGGCAGAGAAAGTAAAGAGAAAGATGCATAGTAACGCACGAACTTTTGTGTTCGATTTTATGTCTTCACACATAAACACTAGTTTCTTTTCTTCTTGCTTTTCTCCCAGTGATCGCTTTCTTTAACGTATATGCTACGATCAAAGTTGGAATTCAGTCAAGTTCCAAATTTGTCGAGACAAAATTAGAATTTTATTTTCATGAACTGTAAAACTGAGAGAAAAAGCATAAATACGAATACGAGTTGGATCAGGAATTATGATGAAGACGAAAGACAGCTCTCAGTCTTTATCTTGAGATTGTGAGTGAACTTAGAGTAGATCATTTCGTAAAACCTAAGTCTTACTCAAAAATTCATCTTTAATAAGAACTTCTTTGCCCTCACCAAGGCTAAAAAGAAGAGAAAAAGTGATCATTTTTTTAATACCCATGAAGAATTATCATGATTACAATCACAGTTCTCGAATATGAAAAATATGATCACTTTTTTCTTCTCTTTGTGCGTCTAAACGCGCAAAAAGAGCGAGAAATGAGTGTTTTGGGCTCAAAGTCGGGAATCGAGAGTGTGAGCCAAAAACGTCCACTTTTTGCTGATTTTCGGCAACTTTTTGTGCGTTTAAATGCGTTTTCAAAAATTTTTATCGGCTTGGAAGGACAAAACAATAATGTCATTCCAAAGTATTAAGTTGGAACATAAGTTCTGCACGTTTGGATCGGTAGAATTATATCGCTAATATAAGACTATATTTTAAGGAAAGTAATTATATATATTGATAGCGCTCGGAAGTCTCTATCACCTGATGTATTTAAGTCTTGACTTGCATTTATGAGCTGAAGAATATTTCGAGTATAGTGAAGACACCCTTACCCGCATTGATAATGTTCGAAATATTTCTCAGCAAATAAGTTTAAGCCAAGACCTGAATATATAGAGTGATAGAACGTTTCAAGAGCTCTCAGAATATATAATTACTTTTCTAAAAAAACGGGTTACTGTGTAGATAAAAAATTTAAAAACGTTTGAGAAAGAAACAAAAAATGGAGTTCGTGGAAACCTGAGGATGAAGGTGTCTTCACTGTACTCGAAATATTCTTCAGCAAATAAATGCAAGTCAAGACTTAAATACAACAGGTGATAGAGACTTCCGAGCGCTAGCAATATATATAATTACTTTCCTTAAAATGTAGTTTTATATTAGCGATATAATTCTACCGATCCAGACGGCCAGAACTTATGTTCCAACCTAATACATATAGAAGAAGAACGAACGGGAAAGGGTATTGTGGTTATTTCTATTACGGATAACATTGCGTAAGAGAAAAGGACAAACTAATAACGTCACTACAAAGTACGTGTAGGAAAAGAGAGAAATAAAAGTATGGATAGATAACAGACAGAAAAAGGCATCGTAGTCATTTCAATAGAGGAAAAGCAACAACTTACACGTTAGATTCGGTTGTTACTCTGAAGTCTTACTTTTCCTCGTTAAGGATGAATACGATATCCATCAATACAAAAAAGACTATATGCAGATCTCGATCGTCTACTAATAATCTGTCGTAATAAGTATCTTGCATTAAGAACGGCAACCTATTCTGATTGATGGTGTGTCTATCATACGCAACACACCGACGCGTTCAATGGCAGTTTGAAAAACTGTAATAGATACATTAGACATGCACTAAACCCGAAAGTTAGAGTTCGATCATTTTTAGTCAATTGATACAATGAGCTAGCAGAAAGACAAAATAAGGGGTTTTAAGGTTCGCTATGCTAACTCTAGATACCATCAAATAAATAATTCACAAACTGAATGGCTAGAGACATTAGAAAAATTAACTATGTTCGGAAAGTACCCAAATTCGAACCTGGACGAACTTTAAGGTACTCCCATGATCAATTATACAACTCAGAAAATGAGTGGAGAAGTATATAGATACTCGACGCTATCTGAGTTCGTTGGATAGTTCGCGAATTTCGAATTGCAGTTCGTGCCCGGTACATGCCTAATATACATTAATAACTTATCTTTATTTATTGGTAGAATAATCATGCAGATTTACATAACAACCACAACGGGAATGGCTCAAACATATAGCTTCGAGATCGAGTCTTCTATTACAATAAAACAGTTGAAGGAACTCTTCCTTGACAAAACCAATCATACGAGAGATATTCAGACTATATGCTTTATATTCGATGAGGAAGTACTTGACGATAATGACAGTACAATTGCAAGTTATGGTGTAGAAAATAAATCAATACTACAATTAGTTAATTTAAATGTCACTGATCGTGGTTACTTTCCTTCTATGGGCGGAAAATTTATTGATATTAGTAATAATAAAAGTATAAAAAGAGCAGATTGGTCGGAAACAGCTCCACCTTGGCGAAAAACTAGACGCGGTCTATGTCTGGAAGGTTTATGTAGAAATAATCAATGTAAAGCTTACAAACATCACGTTGTTATCCCAATTGGTTATAAGAAATTCGATATAATTATTGATTCAAGTGAAACTACAACTAAATGCCCTTTATGTAAGCAATATGTTGAACCAATAACATGTGGTTTTAATAATTGTTGGTGGAAATATGAAGGAATAAAACAAGATGAAGACGGCAAACCACCAATAAGATGTTCAAGTAATTGGCAACAAGCTGATAATGCATATCATTATTTTGATGAACATACAAGTAGAATAGTCTTATGGAAACAACTGATTATTGAAGCTGTTAAAAAAAGACCTTTAGAATAACTTATTATTCAATTTTTAATTAATTATATTCTATCACGTCAAAAATCAGTTTAATTTGTATTTTATTACTTGATCAATAAAAGTGAATAAGAAACATTTTCAACTTTGTCGAAATGAACAAGACATAAGAGGGCTATGTCATTCTATAATGAGGGTGAATAATAATGAGTTTATAGATTATTCATAAATGAATTTTTAGTTTTATGAGTGTGTGTGTGGGCATGGGTGTAAGGCTCGGTTATGGTTAGGGGTGTCAGTTTCTGGCATGGATGTAGTTGTGGAGGTCGGTGTTGGTGTGTGCGTGGTTGAAGTCATGAGTGTAGTCTATCAAGACATCAACATCCGCACCAGCCCGCAATCATACAAACTCACTCCTACACCATGTGACACTGACTTTATCCCCAACCATAAATCGCTTCCCCCACCCCATTCTGAGGGCGTGGATGTAGGTGTGAGTATGGTTGTCGATACGTGTGCGGATGTGGGTGTTGGCATAGTCTCAATTGACAACCATACTCACACCTACACTCACATCGTTACTGGTAAGAATCATACATAGAGGTAAGTTACTTCTTTTCTGTTATGCACAAGAGTATTCAGTAAGTATTGCTACAAATAACCTGAGATCGTAATCACAAGATAATAGAAGCTTCAATGTTATCCAACGAACTTATATTAAAACCTCTAAAAATAGACAATAACATTTCAAATAATATCTTGGGGTGTGGATGTGGGTTACGAAAAGATCTACACCCATACTTAAACCCACGACATTCGCCCCACTCCCACACTCGACTGACCAACTGCGTTACGTCTTTTGATAATAAGTACACAGGAATCTGCTCAAAAATGATATCAAGATAATTTTCCAAACCTTATTGATATAGACCGTTGGCCTCCTAATTCATCTAATATTAATCCTTCGAACTATTCTATATGGAATGAGGGTGTGAGGGTGGATGTGAGTAGGTATGGGTGGGTGTGTGGAGTGTGGGTGTGGGCGGATGTGGGTGTGGGTGTGTGGGGTGGGTGTGTGGGTGTGGGTGAATTGAGTATGAAGATGCACACCAACATCCGCACCCACATCCACACCCACACTTCGGTGAAGAAGAGAGACGATCATGATCATAAAACATGTTGCGAAGCTCATTAGAGGTAGTATAAACCCATTGTTTAAGCTTTGCCTGCCAGGAACAAGGGTGTGGATGTGTACGTTGTGACTGTAGATTTGGTCGTGCGTGTGGATGAGTGAGGGTGTGAGTGTGAAGTATAGATGGAAACAAAAGAAACATCCACATCCAAACGCACACTTACGCCCTCATAACGAATGAAGTAGGTGAATTACCTGGCAATGTTCAAGTTATACCATTAGAAGATTCTTCTCGTAGCATTTAAATTCAGTTAAACGTTTTTTCTTTTTTTTCCTCTTGATACTTTTTTTGCTAGAAAGTACATTTCGTTTCTTGGCAGCGGCTATGGGTGTCTTTCTCTTCGCTTATATTCATACCCACACCCAACCGTAAACTGCACGTTCTCTAAAGTATTCGAATTTCTCGATGTTTTTCTTTTGTTGTTTAAATAGAAAATTCAATATATAAACACGTTTATTTTTCACAAGAACTACGAATGAATATTTTAAATGATAAAAGGATGATAAAAATACGCAGCTGTTTCATTAATTAGCTAATCTTTTGACATTTGTGAATACATACACTTTTTTTGTTGGTCTAGAATCTATGTCTCGCATACATTAAGTCACCTTGGCTACAGAAGAAAACTATACGAACTATAAGTCGAACTGAAACCATTCTTTTGATGATCTTTGCTACAGTTGAAATTTTGATGAAGATGTATCAGATCAAAACAACAATGGCGCAGCTCTTGGTATTGGCAATTTTTTAATGTTCAATTTTATGCTCTTGCTGTTATTATCTAGTTTATCGTCAATGGGAACAAAAATATACATAACTATCGGTCATATTATTGCTATTCAAATTGGTAGACAAGCAACCATTCGAGTGGAGTCTCTCTTTGATCAATAGATACAGTCTAAACTTCCTTCACCTGCTAGTTTTGTTTCAATATATGCTCTTTACTCAATACTTTCATGGAATATTGATTTATGCATATTAGACTTTTTTCGAACAAAAATTCAGTTTTTAAAATTTTTGATGCGATTATCTTGCACAGTAAAGACTAAAATCTATACAAATATGTACATTATTCTCCTGAGAGTTTCTTTGAATCACCCTTTTTCTTTGATGAACTAGTTGTCATTGAAATAAAATAAAATTTTCTTCATCGAACCGATATAAAGTGTGTTTTGACACAAGAGATTGACGTGTTATGTATGATTTCATTTTCTAGAAATTCTAAATCAAACGAGAAAATTTCCAGTATCAACGTATAATAAACAATGAATATTAGTTGTTTTTCATTTGTTCATCCTGACTGTCACTTTTACTAAAGCTACATGCCAAAAG